GCTGTAATGAACTCCTCCAGCCCTCCTGCTGATCCCCTAAACCATCTTTCCTTTCTCCACAGCTTTGTCGATGTTCTCTTCCCCTTGTGAAGCTTCTGCAGAACTGTGCTTGCTTGTCTGGCAGAAGATCTGGTCTAGGATGCTCTGCTTCCCCTTTCTCAGGTTTTCAAGCCATGTTTGTGGAAGCCAGATGATTCATAACTCCCTGGAGACCTTTTGATGTTTCTTCTTTTGGAAAGGGAAACTGATGTGCAGACATTAGTTGATGAAAAACTGATTGCTGGATTGCTGGAAAGCCCCGCTGCCGGCCCAAGTTTCCCTTTCATTTGAATGGACTCTGAACAATTTGCTTGTTTACATAAAAAATAAACAGCATCCTATTTGTTCTGCAAGAGGAGGGGGAGGAGGGAAGCTGAGGGGGCAGCTCAGGTGCAGCCTTTCCCAGCAGTGATGCCAGTGAGGGGAGGAAGGAGCTGGGCAGGAGCTGGGCAGAATGAGCCCCACACTGGGAAGTGGAGTCCCAATGGGTGACTGAGCACACCCAGCCATGCTGGAAAACACAACCAGACAACCATCGTGCACTCAGGAAGGCACAGCCTCTGCACTGCAAGAGCAGCAGGGCTGCCAGGGCAGGAAATGTGGCTGAGCATCACCTGGGCATCACCCAATGCCCAAAACTGCCCCTCAGGAGGCAGTGGGAGGGGTTTAAGTTTTCTCTGTCTTCTTCTGTTCTACCCAGTGTACTTTGAGTCTTTTCCATTTACAGTACAAAACGTTCTAGTTTTGCTTCTTTTAAACCCTCAGCTTTCTGAGTGTAAAGCCCCTCCACACTTCCTTGGGGTGCTCACTGAAGGGTCTCCCCAGCTCCATTTTCAAGCTCTGGTTACTCAGGATGTAATCACGAACAAAAGGCGATCCTCTTGTTCCTTCCCGGAGTCAGAGCTCACCCTGTGGCTCCAGGCACGACTGTGCCAGGTCCTACAGCCTGGAAAGACACTCTAAAACGAGGAAAATGAGAGTCTCTTCCAAAGCCTGCTTCCTACAGACGGACACTGGGGACCACCAAGTACTGTAAGTTGGTGATCCAGGACGCATCCTGCGCGGTAAGTCCTGCCCGGAGCCACGAGACACGGAGGCCGCAGGAAGGCCGTGTCCAGGAGCCCTTCCCCAGGGTTCTGTCGGCCCTGATTTGCTGGGCAAGCTCATCCACTGGCACAGGGACAGAAAAGAAACTCCCTGTGGCCGAGCAGGAAGCCCTCACCACCGTGGCCAAGCAGAGGCAGAGGTGGATGCACGTGAGCCAGAAACGGGAAGCTGACTCCACTTTGCTAAGGAAGATAAAAAGGAGGATCTGATGCCAATTTTCTCTGAACACTCCGAAAAGGAAATATTTTTTTATTTTTATCCGGTGAGGTTAATCAACTGCCTCGGGGTTAAGTGAGGGTGGACCTGGGGGTGTCAGGGAGACTCCATGCTGGAGAGGCTTCTGTGTCAGGTGGCTAACAGGGGAAATGATGCCTGGCGAGGACTCAGCCTCCTTTTTTCAATCCTGACCCCTTTTGAGCTCCCAGAGTTTAAGCTGGTGATAGAGAGATGCTTCAGCTCAGCTTTTAAAGCAAAGTTGTGATAACAGAAAAAAATAGGACTGGAAGGAATTGCAGCGTAATTGTCAGTGATTTAAATCTGAGCAGGGTTAGTCCTGATAATTCCAAGAAGGCACTATAGCAAGTTATGAATTTCCATGCTCCTTAGTGTTTGATTAGGATGAAACCCAAGCAATCAGAAAAATAACTGCAGTTAAAGAATGTGAGGAGAAAGACACGTTAAGGCCCTTAGATATTGTAGAGAAAAAGTGTTTGTGATGGCTGTGTTTGGAGCTGGCAAACTGACATCACATCCCTCCTTGGAGGGCACCTCTCACTTATTTCTATCTTTTCCTTTTTTTTTTTTTTTTTTAATTATTTTCTTCATGGCAGAATTCAAGGGTGAATTCTGAAGGGTGAGTTCTGAAGGCTCGAGAAATGAGTCTTCCTTCATCACCTGGGAGAGTCACTGAAGGGACATGATCTTGTAGAGTCCCCACAACCTCTGTGTTACCCAAGGGGGATGTTGGTAACAAAAGCAGACCTTGCAGTGACAGGAATGGGGCACAATCCTCCTAAAAATGGAGATTAGGCAAACACAAAGCCTGGCAGACCCACAGCCACGCAGCAGAACTGTGGCTGTGCAACAGGGAGCCAAACAGCTTCTGCTGAGCCAGCGGTGTGAAAGTGGTGCTACTTCAGCTTGGGCAGAGGCTCCCCCAGTATGACATGAAAGCTCTTATGCAACGTTTCACAGGAAAACCACAGTGCCAGGCAGGGACAGACATGTCATAAACCACAAAACAAGTCTCAAACCAGGCAGGATGGAGGTGGCCGTGTCTCTGCTTCACAGGAATCACCGCGCACCTCGTGCATCGCCCTGGAGAGAAGTCTGGGTTTGGAGAAGATGATGGCAGAGGTCCAGACTGCAGGGAGCAGTGAGAGGGGACAAGGCTGGAGCCAAGGGTGACCCCAGCACAGGCAGTGTCCTCGTTAGTGAGGTGAGAGCCCACAGAGTCTGAGCACGGGGAGCAGAGCCAGAGGCTGGTCAGAGGCTCCATCAGCAGCCCCAGGCAGATCAATGTAAGGAAGCAGATCCGGAATCTGTTTGGGAGGGTTGGGGGAATCCACTCAGCTGTAGCAGGAGATGGGGACAGAGACAGGGCTCCAACACCAGAGGGTCCAGCCAGCCAGGAGACAAGATACCTACAGTATAGATCCAAGGTCTGTCCAAGGGACTGGAGCAGAACCAGGACTGGAGCAGAGCCAGGACTACAGACCAGCACTTACAGCAGGCCCAAAGCAGGGACCACAGGCTCAAGCCTGAGCTTAGATGTGGCTCCTGGTCCTTGGGCAGAGGGTTGGGTGTGTGTGTGTTGTGGGGGTGAATCCACTGGTGAGGCTGACCAGATGAGGCTGGTCAGGATGATTAAGGCCAATTAGTGCCCTCAAGGCCTGGCATTGTTCCATCTGATGGATCCTGTAGGGAGGTGCAGGCATGGAGGGGAGCCCATGTGGGATCCCAGTGACTACTCCTTCTCATAAGGTCAATCAAAATAGCTGGCTAGTGACGTGGTGGAGATGATGTGGAGCTGGAAACCAAAGACATGGATCAACAAGAGGTGAGAAGGGGCACGCCATGACCGTGGGTCCCCCATCTCCCGTGGCCTGCAGGGAAACCTCAAGGCAGGACATGTGTCTTGCACATGAGGTACAGAATGCAACCCTTGTCCCACCTGAGCAGAACAGGCTTGGCATTAGTTACCTCCTGCACCAAATTCTGCACCTGAGGCAGCCCATGGCCCTCCAGGAGAAGCACGGGAAGGTGTGTGGAAGGACACCTTTGGCACGAGGTCTTTCCCTGCAGCCACAGAGACACCAGCAGAGCCAGCGAGCGTGTGGCACCCACAGCCCAGGGACTGGGCATCCAAAGGCTCCCGTGGTGCTCCGGAGGCTCAGCCCTGAATGGCCCCACGCTGGCGCCTGCTCTGCTGTCGGAAATGATTCATCGCTCCAGGGCCGCCTTCTCTGCACAGCCCCCTCCTTCCTCATCCGCCCTCCCCCACGGCAGGGAGGGGAAAAGAGAAGGGAAAAAAAGTGCTTTTGTTTTCACAGAGTTTCTTATCCTACCAATGACCTCTCTGGCCTGGTGACTCATCTGCGGGGCTGGGAGAGGGCTCCTGGAATACGCGGGAGATGCTTTGTCCCTTTGCTCCTTTCAGCTCCCCACTCCAGGCAAACCCCAGGGCACTAAGTCTTTCATGGAGTTGCCTTTCCCACCTCTCCTCCCCAGCACCAGAGGAGCAGGTAAAGGCAGCCCAAGCTCTGGCTGGGGTGGGAGAGGTCGTAGCTCAGCCCTTGCTCTCTTGCCCTGTTACAGAACAGACTTGGAGGGTAATGTTTGTTGTTTGCTGTTTGGCCATAGCTTTGATTAACCAAAGCAAAACCCCATCTGTTTGTTTTCTTTACTGCCTTAGAAGGATGGGAACTACAAATCCCTGTGAGGAAATATATTTCCTGTAAACTTTTGGCAAGACTGAAACCCTTACAGAGTGAGGAGGTGGAGCAATAGCCTGGCCTCAGCTGGCTTTGCTGTCTCTTGGTGATGCTGGAATGCCCTCCACAGTGCACAATCACACGTGTTCATCTATGCAGGGCCCAGGCTCAGTAAGCTAGCCTGGGGCTCAATCCCTTGAGGATCAAAGTTCTTTAACATAAGGACTTTATTTACTTCTAAAAAAAACCATACAGCTCATATATGTCATGCACACATTCAATACAACAACAAATCGGAGTTTGTAACAGTCACTGTGCTCTACAGCAAATGATATTTCAACCCCAGGAACTGGTGGCACCCACAGGCTCTGTCCCTCTGTGCCAGCATCCACCTTGTGCCCTGCCAGGCTGCCCATGGCACAGGGAGGAACAGTGGTGTCCCCCCCTGCCCCGGGTTTTAACTGCCCCCCGTGAGTGGTGCCAGCACCCTCCCTGCTAAGAGCCCAGGAACAGGAGAGGGGAGCAGGGCAAGGACAGGGTCAGGCTGGAGGAGCAACTCCTCCTGAGGAGTTCCAGTGGGACTGTGGCAGCTGGAAGACGACGGGAGCCACCCGTGGAGCTGAAACCAGTGTCCTTACAAATAGCATTGTGGGACTCCAGGTGATCTGACTGGTGCACATTCATCTCCCCAGCGTCACTTCAAGCCAAGGACTTCACCTGTAGCCAGACAGGTGTCCACCCCATTTGCTGAAGGGCCTGGAGAGTGATCCTGCTCCCACGGACATGCACAAGCCGTCTCAGACCAGCAAGAAAATAAACAAGGCACAGTGTTTTCCAGTGTTCCCAGAAAGGTCTCAGCTCCAAGCAGCGCAGACAGGGCATCGCATACATTCAAAAGGCTACAAAACTTTACTACAAAAATAACATTTCTAGTGTTTTATATAAAAATAATGCCACATACAGTGCTTCACAAATCCCGACTGTGCACAAGTGGGGTGGATGGGGACGTGGCACTGACAGCCCCTGATTCACCCTCCAGGAAAATCCTTGCCAGCCAGCGTTCCACAGCTGGGCTGCACAAGGAAGGGTTTCACCCCACATGCAATTAATCTAATTGCATTCCACACTTGCAAACCCCCAGATGAATCCCTGGCTCCCCTCTCTCGAGTCAAAAAAACGTAGAAAGAAGGGGTTGTATGATGGCAGAAAACAAACACAGTTGTTGTCTGTCCTCTCCACCTGCAGGGCTGAATGGGTGCTGTGAAGGGGTGATCTGATGGGTTTAACAGGCTGCCTTCCTCAGGCTCTGCCTCACAGCTGGCCCCTCATTTTTGCTTTGATGATCTTGCTTATTATGTGCTTTTCCTTCCTTTTTTTCTACGTGCATATTCATACTTTGGGATCTGATCCACTGAGGTTGGTTAGAGGAGGATCTGACCCTTGATATGTATCTACTCACAAAGCATCATATCGTGAAGACCTTTGCACGCTCCAGCAAAACTCACACTGGGGTTGAAGTCTAATAAGGGCTTTCAGGACCTGACCACAGATAAAACATAAAGCTTACATACAGCAGTGCCTGGAGGTGTAAAAATCAAAATCAACCTGGGTTTAAAAAAAGCCTATTACTGTTAGGATGCTTTCATAGCCTGGTGATCAGTGCTATCCAGGATGGAAAAACTAAAATGCAGATGAAGTGTAGAACTATGAACAGCCATTTTGTTCTTGCTTTTTCCTTCTTTTTTTTTTTTTGTTTGTTTGTTTGTTTGGTGCATCAGCAAATGTCCTTATTTCTAGAGAGACTATGGAAGCAGAAGGATGTTACATCTGCTGTGGTGGAGTAATTCCTACATGACTAAATCCAGAATTGTCTTTAGCTCCTCCAAGAGATTATTTCCTGGGTTTTTTTGCTTGCAGAGAACAGCAAAAGTGTTCCAATGTTATCACAGGAATAGCAACACTATTGGGTGACTTCTTGTTTTCTCCCATTTGCAAAGAATCATTTGCATTATCCTGCCCTGGTGTTGGATGCAGCTGGACACAGGGCACATCAGCTGGCAGAAGGGTTTCATTGCATTGATTTCCTAAGGAGCAGGTCTCAGACCACATCTGCAAGAAATGCTGTTGAGAGGAAGGGCCTGATTTCAAGGAGACAGATTGTGGGTTCCCAGCTTCTGTGAACACGAAGTCTGTAGCACTGACCTTCAGCACCCTGATCAGATGCAGTTATGGTCACCTCTTTCTGAAAAGCTGGGCTATCCCTTGTGTCTGCAGCAAGAAGAAATAATTAGAGCACATTTGATCAGCCCAAGGAGAGCCAGCACCCAGCTTTGGCCTTGGTCTGACAGAGCAGAGACCTGAAGCACAGAGAAGCAGCAGAGAGTTTAAGTGCAAATCGTGTGGGTTTGGTGCTAAGATTGCTTGGGGTGGCTGAGCCTGAGTCCAACAGTGTGGGTGAGTGAGTGGCTTCTTGGCTTAGCCATGATGAATCACAGAAAAATTCCCAACAGCAATTTGGGAATCCACTTCTGCCTACCCCCTGGCAAAGAGCCACCAGCAGAGCAAGAACAGCCACAGCCGTCGTGTGTAACAGTGCCAGAAGAAGTGTCTCAATGATTTCCAAAACACTGTCATTGGTCAATGATGAAACAGATGTATTGTTGGACATTCTGCTCTGCAAAACTACAGGTTTGCTCTGGTATTTTTATTCCCTGGCTTGCTTCCTACCGGTGGTCACCTGTTCAGCATAAACAGCTTTTCTGCAGTAACACACACATATAGTTTAGGCCAAAAATGTCCATGCCATGAAGCACTCAGATTACTTCCATTGGATAGGCATTGTTCTGATGTCCTGCCCTCTGGTAGAGCAAGCCCTGTACCATTTCTCTCGACGATTCTTCTGGTCTCATTCCAAACTTCAGGTACAGCCACACAAGAGCAACAGTGCAAATGGTCACCCCGCTTACCACAGAAACGGGGATGACAAAGTGTGTTTGAGACAAGAAGCTGGACAGAGGTTGATCATCTGGCCTGTCTGTGATCGTCTGCACCCTGGCTTGGCCTGAGAATGCCTGGCCAGCAAAAACTAATGTATCAGAAGGCTCTTGCTTTCCTACAGGTGATGAATAATCAAATGTTCTAGTACCAGACCCATCTGTAGAGGAACCAACAACCTTGTTGCTATGGACAGAAGCCCCTTTGTCTGTGGCAACGGTGGAGTTCAGAGTAGAAACTGAACTAGTGTCTGGTGGAATTGGTGTGTCTGGGGGTGTTGCAATGTCCACACTGTCCAGGGTGGAGGGGAGATCTGATCTAGAACTGCTGGAAGCAGTGTCTGGTGCATTGGCCCTGGCAGTTGTAGAGTCCAGAGATTCACTTGCAGAAAGCAGAGGTTTGTCTGATCCTTTAGTAGTTGCCATTGGGTCCGAATCTGAGTCAGGAGAAGTTGTGTCTTGAACATCAGCCGCAGCATTTGCAGTATGTCCTGCACATTCTTCTGTAGATCTCATGGTGTTGTAAAAGCCATGCACACGAGCTGTGGGATGTGGGGTGGGCTGGCTGGAGTCCATGCCTGCTGTGAGAGCTGTTGAAGATGCAGGAGAATTTGAGGAGTCTCTGTTTGCTTCTGGAGCGACCTCAGAGCGTGCAGCATATTCCTGTGTCACGGAGGGTGACCCTGCAGGGAGCTGGGTGCTGTCCTGCCTGGCTGGAGGGGACTTGCTGGACACCTCTGTCCTCGCAGCAGGAGCATGTATTCTCTCCCAGGCTGTTGTGCTGGTCCCTTGGAAGAAACCAGTTGGAGCAGTGGCTTGAGACGGAGCCCTTACTGGAAGACCAACTTGTTTCTGAACATCACCAGCCTCTTCTGGTGAGGTGGCATCATGCCTAAGTGGGGAGGCTGTGGCCTTTTTCTGGTCCAGTTTCTCTACAATCTTCTTCACCCACTCAGCCTCTGGATCTGCACAAAACTCCTTAGACTTCAGAGTAGTTAATCTGAGAAATAAAAAGGCATCACTTAGTGGATACAGAAGACACTGGTTTAGGTGACCAGTGCTATGGGGAAGGCATGCAGACAGATGCAGACAGCAACACTGACTCTCCCAAGCCATAGCAAACACCACTGGTTGGCTGGATGATTTATTCCAGGAAGGGCAGGTGCCTCTGAAATCTGATTGAATGAAGAGCAGCTGAATGTGACTCATGGGTGAAGGGTTTTCCCCTAGGAAGCCTTTTCTCTTTCAAAGGCATTGTCCTGACGCTTGGACATGGTGTTTTCCTCCTGCACTCGGGACAAGAAGCTCTGAAGGCACCATCTGCTCAGGGGCAAGCAAGCATGAAGGCAAACCCTCTGAGTTTTGGCTGACTGGGTGATGTGAGACTTTCCAAGGTCAGCCCAGCAGGTTCACTTTGGAGCCACCCCCTGGGCTGCAATAAATTGGTGTCAATGGTGCCTCAACTTCAGGGTAAAATGAAAACGACAATTTATCCTAGGGAAAAAAATTGAGCTTTTCTCAATTCCAGACAAGTCTGAATCTGTCTCCAGAGAAAATATCTGCTTTCACAGAAACACATGGGCTCTCTCCCTGCGTGCTTCCTCCACCCTGTTCTGCCAAGTACCTCCCTTAGTCCCTTTCCCCATCCGTTCAGCCCAACTTGGAAGCTGTCGGTCTTTAAACAGGGGGAAAAATAAAACACCACCCTTCAAATAAACACAGCAGTGTTTGCTCTGTGTTCCAGGCTGTCCCTTGCTCCAAACCCAGGGCCCTTGCTGACAGGGTCACTCGTGGCCAGTGGTGGGGCAGCACTTACATGATGGCTTGTTTTGCGCATCTGGGCTCGGTCCGGCGGTAGCTCCTTATCCTCTTCTCTGCTATCAGGGATGTAAAACCAGAGCACTCGTTTGAACACTTCAGAGGCGCTTTGGGTTGCCCTGAAATAAAGTTTTCAACTTGTTAAACATTGGCTTTTTGTTAGGGAACTATAAAAACTGGCGCCGTTTCTTTTCTCTCGGGTGAAGGAGCCCAAAGCTTGGCCCGGAAGTTTCCAATCCCTGCTAAACTGAGATGAAGGCAAATCCCAATGAAGACAAATCCAAGATGGTTTTTAACACTCATACATGTGATCAGATACCCAGAAAACTGAGGGGGAAAAAAGCACTGTGAAAATTGTGGGGCTTTTTTGTCTTGTAGGATGTGCAAGCGCTGGCTGCAGGTCCTTTGTGCAAGCCCCCGGACCTGCAGGGCCTCTCCTTTTGGGTCACAGGAGGACCCAGCAAAGTGCCACATTTTGTCACCCCCAAAAGACCTGCTGCAACCTTCACCAGAGAGCTCTTGGTGCAGGACAGGCAGACCAGAGAGCGGGATGATTGTCTTCTCCCTATCTGGGTCTTATCTCTTCGTCCTACAGGAGTTCCCCTCCAGGTGATCATCCTACCCTACCTCTCTCTTTGCTGGCACATGGTCTCTGAATGCCACCTGGGCTCAGAGAAAGGGAGTAGAGAAAGAACCTTTTGGTGAATGATAAATCACTCCCACAGGTACCTCAGCAGCCCAGCTTCCCAAACACGACTTTTCAATCCCCGCTGGAAAATACGGTTTTTGTTTTGCAAAGTGCAAAAATAAAACTCCACTTCAGGGGGCAGAGCCAGTCACACCACGGGGGACCCTTCATGCCTGTATCTACCTCCAGCCTCCCACAACAGGCACTTGCCAAGTGAAGGAAGGTTGCACAGTGCATCCTGCCAACTTGTTCCTGACAGCCCAGGGGACAGGATTTAGAAAAACAAGCCCTGACTTATCTGAGGCCCCTGTGAAGAAAGGAGCTGGCGTCTGGTTTCAATGAGGCTGTCTCTCCAAAACGTTGCCTCACATTTCCAAAGCAGTTTGGTGAATTTTATGCAGTTCAGTTGGGAACGATCCAGACACTGGGTGCAAGAATGAGCAACACTATGGGAGCACCCTCAGCTCTTTTGATCCATTTACTGGGGAATGCCATGGTTGCAAAGAAATCCCAAGCAAACACTCCAGTGGCTCCTGTACAAAAGCCTGGTTTGGTTTCTAGGTGTCTGTAAAGTTAAAGCAAAACTCTTTGTTCACACACTAAATGTTTTCTGTGGCACTCTCATGGCAACCAACTTCCCAATTAACTCTCATTAGCCAGAGGACATTCTGCTGGTGTCCTCCACTTTCAGGAACACAGTTCAACAAAACAAGCCCAGTGACAACAGGACCAGACCATCCCTGTGGGCCACTGGGGATGTGCACGGTGGGGAGCAGTCCCTGACTGCTCCCAAAGGCCCTGCTCCTCTGATAACCCCAAACTGATTTTCCAGTTATTGGCACCAATGCAAATGGTCTGCAACAAGCTGAACTCCTGGTGGGTTTTTCCCAGAGTGGAGGACCTTGGAAAGCACCTTCCAAGGGCAGAGGGTGCCACAGGGAGCACTGGTGGTCCCCCTCCTTCTGGGGAACACAACCCTGCTTCTCTGAGCTGCATGTGAATCGTTGCCAAAGGGATCTGAGAGTTTACCCACCCAGGACCATGACTCTTGGGAGCCATTGGTACCTGGCTTTTCAGCACAGTTCCTCAAAAGACCCCAGCCAGGGAGCACCAGCAGCCCTTCTGCAGAGCCAGCCTGATTTCCTCACTGCAGGAAAGATGGATACCAGTGTCCCTGGTGCCCCCTTTTCTCCAGCCAGCCCTGGAGAACCTGCCCAGAGGTGTGAGGAGAGGGAGAAGCTCCATCCCCAGCCGCCCGTCCTGTCCCGTCTGGTGGCAGCAGGGCACGGATCTTAAGGGCTCTTTGCCCGTCTCCCTTTCCACGGTGGGAATAGGTCACGCCTTGGTCCTGGGCAAAGTCCAGCCTCGCCTGCAGTGCTGAGAGCCCGGCACCCACCCTGCTGACCTGTGCCATGGGTGACTGACACTGAGCCCAGCCCCGGCAGAGAGGAGCCCACCACCTCCCGGTCCTCTGACCCCGGAGCACGCAAAGATCTTTATCCAGGGAACAGGACAACGTTTCCCACCTGTATACACACACACACCCACACCCCCCGCAGGTGACAGCCCCCCCTGCCTCGCAGGGATGGGAGCACCGGCACCCTCAGGACCGGGAGCCTGTGTGGACAGACACCCATCCTTGCCCAGGCTGTAGTCTCCCTGCCACGTCCTTAGGAGACACGAGGAAAAAGGGAAAAGAAGTGCATCATGCTTTTATTCTAATACGGATTATCAGAAGTCTCTCTGACACTCTCCCCACCTGCCCCCAGGAGTGGCCAAAGCCATCACGGATGTCCCCGCTGCCAGGATTGCTGCCATACCCCTTACCCCTTCCCAAACCCAGCCTGATCCTGCTGGGAGATCTCCTGCAGCCCATAATGGTCCCCAGGTGCCCATACCCTCATCCATCACCATCCCCGGCTCCATCACCATCCCCCCCCCCTCCCCGGTGAACCTGGCTTTCCCTGGGGGTACAAGGGGAGCTGTGGCTCACCTCCAGCCAGGGTGACCAGGCACAAGGCCCTCAGCACAAGCAGGATCTGGACAGAAACAGCCTTCATGTTCCCGTGGTCGGCAGGAGGAAGGGCAGGCAGAGAAGGATTACTGGCAGTATTCCCCGCTCCCGGCTGCTTATTGCATCCTCCGGAGCAACACAGCTGCTGCCGCTCATTCCGGGATTATAAAGCCCTGAGATTGGGGTTTCAGATGGTATTCAGCTCCCTCACACGTGGCTCAGGATGACGACAGGAGGCGGAGGGAAGAGAGGGACAGGGGAGGGAATACCGGCTGCTCTGGAGCTGGATGGCCGCTGGAATTCCCCAGATGCAGAGAAGCTCCAGCCTACTTGGCAAATTATTCATGCAGGGGCTTTCACGGATCGGCTGCTCCATCCTCCTCTCCCACCAATGTGAGTCTTGGCCAGACAGCCTGTACCACGGCACCGCTGTCCTGAGGCTTTGTAGAGCTCTCCCCACCTCCAAGTACAGCTCCCCACTGCTCAGTAAGCTCATTCTTTACTCCAAATGCAAAAGCAGTTATTCCCTTTCTGTTTAGCAGCCGTCTTATAACAGCAGCGTTGGTCGTTAGGCCAAGAGGAGTGGAATTTGCTAATCAGGATTACGAGTTCATCAGCTACACTGGTGAGCTCAGGCCAGGCTGGCTCTAAGGAGCATCACCAAAGAGAGGGGTGAGCAGGGACCCAGTGACCACCCCAAGCAGCAACTTGTGCCCTGGCTGTGCTCTCTGCAGCCTGTCCTTGCTGTGACAGCCCTGGCTTTTGATATACACGGGGTCTCAGCCGTGGGGGGCTTGCTGATGCTGAAAGCAGGAGCAGAAAGCAGGAGACCCCCAGTTTTGCAAGAGCCAGGCTGTCTGGGGGCTTTCCGGCCCCAGCACCAAGCCAGGTCTGAGGCGGACATACCAACAGTGCAGTCACATCCTGCACCTTTACTTTCTCTTTCAACTCGGGTCCCAGCAGAACACGTAACTGTTTTCCTCTGCCAACTCCCTCAATTGAAAGATGAAGATAAGATTAAGACTGAGGCTGTGACTGCCCTGTTTATCTCTTTGCCCTAAGTTTTCTTAGGGGTGGTGGAAAACTGGCATCTCCATGCTGTTGGAAATGCCAATAGCTCCACTTGGGATTTTATTTTTAGAAATGGAAAAATCCCAGATTTACATACAATGCATTTGGTGAAAATCCCAGCCTGTGACTTCAGCCTTTGCTTATATTGTATTATAAGAAAGAGCCCATTTCAAGGAAATAAAATAAAAACTAGAAGTCTGTTTGATCCAGCCAAAACAGAGTATGCTGCTGGGATGTTTTCAGACCCCTTCCCCAAATGGGTGTTTTCTCTGGCTCTGCAGAGATTTACGGGAAACTTTTATTCCAGGAACTGGCATTGCCTGAAGCCATGGGGCACCTTGGCTGCTGGAAGTGATGTCACAGCCCACACGTGTTCACATCTCCCCCGGAGAAACAGGTTCTGCTTCTTCTGCGAAGGGTTTGCTGCCAGCGATGGATAAAACTGAGGAAGGGCTCTGGCATGCAGGTAAGTGGGAGGGAGACTCCTTTGTTTGCCAAAGGCATGACTTCCCACAGGCATTGTTGTTTTAAGGCACAAACCACTCTCTGGCAGGTAACACAGCTGCTTTACCAGCACAGACAGGGCTGGAGGGACCAAGCAGCTCTAATGAGTGGTGACAAACCTGGGCTGCAGCTGGCAGAAAACTGGCACCATCACTCCCAACCCACTTCCTACACCACCCTCCCATCCCATTGCACAGCTGCTCCTCCAGCACACCAGTGCCAGCCTCTTACTGCACTTCTTTGAGGTCTTGCAGCATTGAAGAACCTGAAGTCAGAGGACCTGTACTTAGAGATAAACCACAGGCATTGTGTTGATCTGTCAGTGAAGGATCTCAGGACTTCTCTGAGCTCATCTTACCTTCAGCTGATTTTAGCTTCTTTAGTTGCAGCAGAAATTATCTGAGCACTTGATTTGGTTTTGCTTTAGCTTTTAGGAATGGCAGGTAGTTGTTCAGTATTGTGGGTCTAGGTCTGTAGATTAAATTGTGATGTGGATGAGGGCAGGCAGGTGTCCTTCTACACCAGCAATCCCAGCCCATAAAGATGAATAACAGCATCCAAGTGATGGAGTGTGCAACCCTGCAGCTCAGGGACAACCAGCTTTCAGGGAAACAAAGAGCAGAAAACTGAGTAACTGGGAACCAGAGTGCAGACTGTGCTAAAATAATGAATGAAAAAGTTGACCAAGGCTGAAGAGGAAGAGAGCCCACCATGAATGTCATATCCTTCCAGTGGAAGCAGGGGCTGGAGCAGCCCATCACAGCCCAGCACATCCCATTCTTCCTTAGGAGGCTTCTTGAGGTGACCTTTCCCACTCAAAGGCTCTCTGAAGGGGTGTCATA